AAGCATTTCTTGGTCACATTCTTATCGATAATTTCAGTGTGTGTCCAATGCTATATTGTTTAAAAAATGCCTGAATATATTCTTTTATATCTAACTAAAAAACAGACTAAGAGAAATGATCAAGTTCAAACAGTTTAGCAGCGAATATAAATTTATTAGAAAAAAAGTATATGAATTTTTGAATTATCAAGAGGAAACTGTAATTTAATATAACATTAAAATTCTAAACGATTTTTGTATTTTATGTACTCAATAGTATGAATTTCGTAGGAAAAAAGTAACTATTAAACAACAACATCAGGGTTATACAACAGTTAAAATGAATTTATAATACTTGTGTAATAATATCCGAAATAATTAATTCAAATAAAATGAATTTTTATTTCAAGTAGTAAACTTGAAATTAACCGTAAAATTTAAATTTGATATTACGATAAGAATGGTCGTTACATAACTGAAAGTTTACAAATATATTTCAGAATAAATCAAATTCTAATGTTTTACCTTTAAATTTTTATTGCTCTTTTATTCAGATGCTGTATTTACTTTCTGTTGTCTCATGTATTAAATAAAACGAGAGAAAAGAACTATTCTGGCTGTATGGAATTTGTATACGAAATTTGAACGAGAAAGTATACGGAAACGACGCCTTACCAAAGTTCTGAAAGTATTTATATCGTAAATTTCAATTAAATGAACATTATCTGGACTTAAATCATTGTGAATATTAATTTTCTGCAATAATATGTTTATAAACACAATACAGTCAGGCTGTGTATCATGCTTACACTGGCTGTAATCACGCTTTTCATATTAAGAAATAAAACCACGCTCAAAAATCCGGAACAACACTGGTCTTCTTGTAACCACATTAACGAACAAGTACTGTATTCTAAACTACATTCAAATCGAAGAAATGAAGATATTTATTAGTATGAATAATGAATTATTCAAATAGATTGATACCTTTTTTAATATTAAAATATGGACATTTTATGAATATAAATTGCATTATGTACTTCAAGTTATTTTTAAAACAAAATGATGTATAATATCTGTGCTTTTATGAATAATTGAATAAGTGTCTTTTATATAATAACAGAAATAAGTAAATTTCATTTGCATAAAAATTTAAAATCGGTGGTTATTCCTACGCTAATTAAGAATCAAATTTAATAAAATTATAAAACAGTTCAACCTCATTAATATTGCTGTATTAAAATCGAAAATTTGGAAATATGCATTCAATTTTTGATGGTGCAGCGATTCTTAGTACTTGTTTTTGTTTTCCGTTTAGTTTGAAATATACATAATGCAACACAATGGCGATTGGCCAAGGAGAATGCATCACAACAATATTTTCTATGGGTACTTGCAAGTATTTACCTTTTAAGTACCAAAAAACTGCACGCGACTAGCCCGCTGGTCAATCGCAAACTTCTGAATATATACCAATGATTTGTGGCTTTAGCTAATCGACCACAGCTGAGCCTATCCCTCAGGTCTTCTGTTTCAGGATCGATAAATTACCAGAGATCGTTTAGGATTCGATTAATCTCGCCTGAAAATATAATTAAGATACATCTTCACATTTACTATTGTACATTACTGGCAGGGGTAAAGGAATGAATGGGTCGTACTCTCTGTTTAGCCTGAATGAAAATAAAAAGAAAGGAAAAATGGGGATTTGAAGGTGAAATATGATAACAAAAAAAGACAGGCTTCTCCTGCTTACAATGCATCGTTGACAACATTGGCATGTTTTGAAGCATGCTGTATGCTGAAGTAAGTTAAGACCAGGGGAAATTATCTGGTAAGATTTTTTTCGAAAAACAATAAATTAGGAAAACGTCTTATATTGCACACATACAGAATAATGCAAACATCTGCATAATTTTAATATTAAAGGTGATTTTATGTAAGATGAAGAATGAAGTATCTGTGTCACGTGTAGAGAATACTAGAGAGAGGTTTACTTCACACACAAAGTAGCACACTCACTTAGACTACATACTGCTATTATAAATTAAAATGCTAAATAACTTGGAAAATACATGTGGTCATAATTATAGTGACTTCAACGCAGTCTAGAAAGATTTGTAATAGACAAAATTCAACCGAGTGTTATGTGTTTCCTTTGGAAAAGTAATTTAAACACACTCTGCTACAAAATTTCTGATGTTGCAAGAGTTAAAATAGATGTGTCATATGCATAATTCAAACTTCCAATAAATAACTCGTGGTTATAAAACAGCATGCCAGAACCTATTTATTTTACTGCTGAACTGGAGTGTGGTTAAGTCCATGTCTGAATGCAGTTTTTTAGAAGTTTTTATATGAAAACAGAGTTGCCACAACTGCAGTTTTAGTGTTACGAAAAACTAAAAATCTGCAGTAAGGTGTATTGCTTCTCTAACCACCAGAACTCCTGCAGTGGTAAGTTTCTAATTAAATCTGCATTCTGTGCTAATATCTTGTTCTAATCAAGATATTTCCTCGAACTAAATGTGGTTGCTATTTAGATTCGTAAATATCTCTGTCCGTATATGAAGTTGAGTGCAAATTAAAAGTACGAGTAAAATATTTAAAGATATATAATATATTTCCTTTGATGGAGAGCTGCATATCATTCATTACAACATTTATATAATAGTATATTTCTTGCATCTTTATTTATATATAAAAAATAAGTATTCTTGTTCGTTAACTATGGTACAGTAGTTAGCAAGCTAACAGAATTATAATTACAAGTGTATTTGTTATACTTGAATGCATGTACAAAAAAAAATGAATTGAAGTTTCTTGAAAAATTTACTTAATATCAAATTTATACAGTATAAAAGTGTCGTGTTTTGGTACGTTTTTAGTATAAATCTATATACATATTTTTCTTTTTTGATTACCTCAGTTTAATTGATGATGGTGGAAAGTGTAAAACAAAATATGCTGACTATCTCCAAAGTACTAAGATTTCACCAATTTTAAATTCGTGAAATCACTATAACAATTTTAAAACGTTAAGTAAAGAATCTAAATTCCATGATAAAAAAGTTCTTTCGTACAGAAAATCCCTCTAATAGAGATGTCCAAAGATCATCTGTATTGTAAATCAAAATTTTTTACAACAAGTAATACGTGAGACGTTTAAACCCCGGCATATGTATTTGTAAAATCTAAGTGACTCGTACAACAGGGAATTCATATAAAACAGAATAATCAACAGTGTTATAGGGGGTCGACTGTATTTCATTTTTTATAGCCAATAAATAATTTATTCCGATTTTTTGAATTTCTTAAAAAATTGAATATTTGAAAACTACTCAGCATTGTTGAGTACAGGTTTTTGAAAAATACACTTAACAGGTACATTATTCACGTTAATAAATTTTATTCTTTCAGTTCTGTGTTTATAGAAGTGCTTTTTTATCAAACAATCGTAGGTTTTGTGGGGTCACCACACAGCAGACAAATGATGACAGACATACCCAGGACTAACCCTCCTGTAAAAGTTTCCGTAACTACTGACACTTCCTTTATAGTGGTAGATTCGCATTATAATTTCTCAACTATTCCGCCATTTTAAGATATATTATAATTCAAATTATTTCGTACTTTAGAAAAGAATTCATATCGATCCCAGAGGCCGTAGAAAAATTTTAAAATCCATAATAATAACTATTTGCATGTCCTGCACAAAAATATACCTACTAATGCATACAATGTAACCATTTGTAAATAAAAAACCTACATTATAAATAACTGTATATTATATATATATATCTGTTAGTTTTGCAAATATTGATAAAAACAAAGTTTGTTAAATTGTTTAAACATATATTATTAACGTGGTCGTTGTCATAGATAAATCAATTCAAAAAATAATGTGTTTCGTTTATCCAATATTACTTATTATTTTATTTATTTCTTGTTTCTAAGGAGCAGATATAAACCGAAGACAAACATTTATTTTTAAATAGAAATGTTGACAGTTTTGGCAAAGTTTCTAATTCCTATACAATTTAAAAAGCAGAATTTCACTTTAATTATACAAATCTATTATTTTATGTAGTTTTTTTTAATTATAGTGACGAACTTTTCATTACCACAGCCTACAATTTACAAAACACTACTAAGAAATTCAGTCATCCGTTCGCAGTACAGCTTGTAAATTAAGGTTGTATTGGCGTTTTTCAGCTACTAAATAAATAAATAAATTATAAAATAAAAGTGTTCTGAACAGTTATAAACCTAAGTAAAGGCTTATCTCATCATCGTCTAAGAAGCTTTGAAAATATCATTGACAGCTAATGAAAAAATCTTCCTTAAAAATTATAGCTTAAAAATGAAAGTTAAAATGCTATTGTAACTTCTACTAATGCTAGGTATTTTAAATGAAAATTTTAGTACAAAGTGGTTGGGAAAATACTATCTTTAACAAACATAATCTATGTACTTGAAAGGAGCTTGGTCTCAATACTGAAATATTTTTACTCCTACAACTGTATATTGTGTTTCGAGTGCCTTCTCTGTATGACATTTTATACGATACAAACATATGGTATTAGTATTGCAACCATTTTGAATATAGATATCTCTTTTAAGCGTCTAAATACAAAAATACCTTTATAGAAAAAATATTGTAAATGATCAGCAAGTATCACGTTTTCCCCTTGCAAGAGCTAGGGGTTAAACGTTGTGGTGAACGATCTAAATTGTGTCACTGAAATTCATAACACGCTGACCAATATAAACGACATTGTATATTCTTACGAAAATCTGTTTTAAAATACAAAAAAAAAAAAAAACATTGTTTTTAAATTAAGATGAAAATATTTATAAAATTTAATTATAATATTCATAAAAATTTGCTTTGATAAATAAAAACATACTGTATAATTCCATTATCATCTCTGAGATCGGATCTTGAATATAGAAAAAAAATTTTTTCACATTGACAAAGATAGAGAAAGAAAAGTCATTAAAAATATTTTATACGAGGGATTGCCTTTATTTTAAAATAAAGTTAAAAGCCCCTTTATTAATATTTGCCCAAGTACAATATGCATTGTTTGTTTTTTTTTTTTAACTCATCAATCAAAAAATATGTCTAACAGTTTATCCGTCGAACGCGCGGTCGAATAAAATGTGAAAAGCATGTTTATCGTCATATATAAATCCTTTAGATTTTTTACTTCCAATTGAGTCTATATATCATTCTCTAAGAATTTACTATATGAATATCATAGTAATGTCTTTTTAATTCTTTATTATAATACAAATTTCATAGATTCAAATATTAAAAATTACATCGTCCGCACTGTAGTGTTCGCAGTTTTCATCTAATTAAAATTAATTCCATTTCATAAATACGTAATATATTATTTATATTTTATTAATTTTTATTATAGTAACGACAGAAATTGAATTGCTATTTTCAACGCTGTCGTGTGTTATCATCGCTCGCTCGATCTATAATTTATATTTCTTTCAATTTTTATAAAAGTGGTTCTTTAAATCTATTATTCATTTGGTATTGTTATATGTAAACAGTAAACACTTTATTATTTAAGGGTTTCTTTGTCAGTGAAAAATTTAAACTCCATTTTGTAACAGTACTTTTGATCGGGGGGGGGAAACAAGAACGTTGCATGTAACTGGTTATATCAACTATTATAATAATAGTGTCATTTTATTATTTCAAATAAACTATTAGAATAATATGATGTATATAGTGTTTGAATCATAATAGTATCATCTGGAAATATTCAATTGTTTAAATATTGTAAAAAAATCAGTGTTATAAGAATTCTAAATTTATAATAATTAAATTTTAAGTATCAATTTCAATGCAAATTGTGTGAATTACTTTTCTGTTCAATAGACAGAAAACTTTTCTATTATAGATTTTTCTTAAAGGAAAAAATAAAGTAGAATATGCATAATCTTTAGATGCGATCCATTAAACAATTATAGTTAAAGATAAAAAAAGGATGGTATTGAAGCATAGAGATGAGCATGATTCAAGAGCAAATGATTAAAACTAGTTTTCATAGGTAAATTTCATTATTAGTTTAATGATTAGTGCTTCTAGATAAAAAATATAATCATTATATATACAAGTAGAAATATACAATCTTTAAAAAAAAAAATTAAAATCACGAAGTAGCCATGATAAATTTCCATCTACAAATCTAATTTTTATTTGTTTTTACCATGTCTGGTTACCATAAGGGAGAAATGATCTCGATTTGAAACTTACCACATTAAATAACTTAGTACATCTAATAATTTTAATAAATTATATCATTTTTAAATTTGTGTACGAAAAATCTTTACTGTTTTTCCAGGACAAACGTTACTTGAGCAAATATATTTTAAATTAATTTAATAAATTTGTAAGAATCTTATAAAATAAACCACATACTTTTTTGGAGATGTATCTGACAGTACTCCAACTCTCTTCATAATTTTCCTCTGTCTTTTGCTCAGACAGGTTCTAGGAGGCTTCAATGAAAAACCATTGCTTTCGCACCATCCGACGGGAAAGATATCTTGAGAGTTCATTGGAAGTATGTGATTTGAGTGAAATATATCAATGCTGTCAAACTGAATCCATATAAGAGGATCCACGACTCTTGTAACTGTAGCTGCACATATCTAACAAATATACAAAATTTTAAAATACATAAATTTGGATAAATAAAACTGAATACATTTCAACAATAATTATATTTAAATAAATTGTACGTATCAAAGTTAATCAAAATTAATAAGTTTGAATTTATTACATAAAATTGTAATCTCTATAATAATTTAGGTTATGATCCATTTCTCTGAAAGTATTAAATTTCAATCTAATATATTTAAAAAGCATATTTGATGTATCAAAAATAAATGTAAATATTATAATTATAATTGTTTTCCCTATTTACAAAATTATATCAGAATGAATCTATAAAATATTACATACGCACATTTTTTAACACGTTAACCGCTATTCGACGGGCCGGTGGTCGTACTAATCAGGGCCGTTCAGAGCTGCATGACGTGCTGGCGGTTGTAGTTAGGCCGTTCAGAGCCATAAGACTGCCGGCGGTGAGAGGCCACCACTAGGATGTAAAACAATGTCTTACAAAGAGCCAGGATAATTTAACCTTTAGTGAAACTACTTGGTCATAGTGACGTCGGGCAGTCAGATGGCTCCGTACAGCCCTAATCAGTACAACCGCCGATGCATAAGATAGTGGTTAACGTGTTAAAGTTATATGTATACAGGGTGATGCAGACCATACACTACTTTTAAAATTAATGGATGTGAATTTCATCAAAAATCCTAAAAATTTTGATAAGTAAATTGGGTATACTCTATCAAATGGCAATATTTTCAACAAGACGAGAATAATATTTAATTTTATTTCCAGAATTAAGCTTTAATTCAGAGACATTTTTGTTCTTTTTTGAGATCATCATCAGCTGTGAAAATTATGAAGTGTGTTAGACAAGTACAATTGAAAGAGCTTTCAAATGTATTTGTTCTAACGCACTTGAATGTAGTAGGGGACACGTGACCCGGTCCCCAAATCTACTTTGAGCAGCACTCATCTCCTCAACATCCCAAATATACACTGTACATATTACTTATTTCAAAAAAAAAAAATAAATGAATATCTAAAAAGTAGTGGTAGTTTTATTTGAAATTAATTTTCTGAAATTTGTCGCTAAGTGAAAACAGAAATTATGTACGTCAATGACAGATATTGTATTCATTACAAGTTGACTGTTTTACTTGGATACAGCTGTTAAATATTAAGAAATAAATATCAGTACCTGATTAGTTTGGTATGGATTTACTGCTTCTAATTTCATTCCTGGTTCCAATCCTAAGTTGATAAATTTCTGTAAAATATAAATTTTATATTAATCAATAATCAAAATTTTCATAAATTTTTCATTAATAATAATATCAATATTCAATTAAAAGAATTAAAACAATATTTTTATATTTTAAGAATACTACGAATAATTTTATTTCAAAAATCATAAAATTACTCACTCCTTTGAACAGTTCACAAGGTGCAACTTCCGCTTTACAAAAATTAAGATATTGTTGCCAATCAAATTCTTTGTTGCCTGGATTATCTACTAATCCTGATAAAAAAAATATAATTTTTAATGAATAGCTTTGTTTCTTTTAATGAATAGCTTTCATAGAATTCTAAAATATACCTTTCGGGAAATGTATTTTAACACCGTGTTCTTTCCCCCAATTTACGGGAAATATAACTAAGGAATTAGCGTGACAGCATATAACCGCGGGGGATTGTTTTTTATCAGTATCTTTTCGATAGTCGTCGATTTCGACCAGAAAATAGTAATTGTTGAGTACTTTCGTAACTGTTGCGGGGCAGAGCTGTAATTTACTAGCAGGACTTACGGCTTCTAATTTCATTCCAGCTTTAAATGAATGAGTTTCTATAACTTCTTGAGGCTAATAAAGTAGGAAGTAATAATAAATTATTTCAATTCTTTATCAATATAATTTCGATGGTAATTTAGACGTAAAATAAACGTCATTAATAAAACATTTTGAAGCATATCTGTAAAGTTTTAAATTTCAAATTTACTTACAGCAAGCACTTGAGAAGGAAATTTTACTTTTTCAGATTCTTCTACAGATATTCGTAAAATATCTGTCCATTCTGCATCGGAGTATATATGCTTCAATTCTAAATGAAAAGATAAAGTATCTGTATTTGTTATTAGGCACAAAAATATTCATTTCTTAATTAATCATAGGTAAAGAAATAGTATGTTTTATCATTCTACATTCTAAGTATCAGATTTTTTAAAATTTAGTATAAGATATTAATTGTACAATTTCAAAAAATTAAAGAATATTTTTTATACATTTCATGGGTTTAAAATTACTATAATCATTAATATATAGATGATTTTGATCATTTATGAAACAGGAAAAAATTATTATACTGAAAATTTCTAGCTAAAATCAATTTAATTACATTAATTTAACGATTTCCAAATTTTTTTAACCTACAGATTCAGACAGAACCTACCGTAGACATGCTATCTGTCACAATTTACATTTATAAATTAAATTAATTTGGTGAATTTTGAAATATCTAGAAAAAAATTATTTGGAGCAGGATTTGAATCAACAGATTAACGTATCAGTGCAATTTTATCAGTGCAGTTATCAGTGCAATTTTAGTCAAGAAATAATCAGTTTATATCATGTTTTCTTTGGTGTCCGAGAGGAAACTGAGAATTATACATAGTTAATCTAGTTACAATTAATTACTAATTAATGCATTTTATAAAGGTTGACGTTTTCGTCTAAAAAGTCAAGTGATTTAAAGTTGTGTTTGTAAACATTCTATCGCCGTATTACTTGCCACTAACCCAATTCTTTTTGTCTATATTTTTTTGTAAATTAAATAAAACAGTATTGTTGTTCCTCAAAATAACAACAGGTTATAACAATAGTTATTTAAATTAATAATTTTCATTTACGTATGAAAAGCAATTAACATTAAGTCTTGATTTGAATTTAAAAGTGGCACAATAATTGTCTTTAGAAATAGCAAGACATTGGGAAGGTTTCTAAGTTAAAATAATTTGAACTAAATATGGAGAATTATAGATACATTTTTGATTTAAAGAAAATTTCAGTTTACATGTATAAAAGTGATTACATTTATGCAAAATTTTATTAGCCGAGCAATTTCATTAATTGCACTATTATTTTACATATTGTAGTAAGACAAAGTCAAATAACATCCAGAATATTATAATTAAGATTCTAAAAGATTTCTGAAATGTTTAGTATGAAAAATTTTGTAATAGCTTCATACTAAGTTGGTTTATAGAGAGTTAGTAATTCACCCATAAAAAAAAACAGCACGCAGAACTATTAAAATCTTTCATAAAGTAGACTGCTTATTGTAATCACTGAGGGACTCATCTAAACTAATAACACTAAGCAAAACAAGTAAATAAGACTAAAATTAGAGAAAATTCTGGTTTCATAGGCTAACATTAAAACAATTAAAAAATGTATAACTTGAAGACATTATCTGTATTATCTGTGATTATAATAAGTAGAGTCTACTGTATATGGAACAGTCTTAATACCTGCTTTTTATATAAATAAAAAAAATTTTTATTTCAGATATATTTAGTTAATTCTTTACCTTTAGGTGGTTGATACTGACATCCGTGATCGTGTCCCCAACCAACCAGATGAAGGCGATGAGATAAATAGAACAGCCAGAAATCATGAGATGTAACACCATCGTACCTCATTAATAATCTTCCACCAACATTCTCAATTATCTGTATATCAAATTAGAGTATTTTATTTTACAGATATTCCACAAAATATATCTTTTCATAAAAAATTAATATTAAGATATTACTGTTGCTATCCACACGTTATTTGGATCTAACTCTTCTTGAATTTCCACTTTCATTCCTTGTTTGATTTGTTCAATGGGTGTTATACCATTTTGTAACTGTAAAGACGAATTGTATTTCTTAATTAGTGAAACATTTTAATATTTTTTAATCTATATATTAATTTTAAGCTTACAACTGTGAAGTTATTATATAACTATAATTTCTACATATAACCTAAGAATGCTAACGAATATAAGTTTTCATAAATTACACAACAATATGAACTAAAAATTATTTTATTCAGTAATATATACGAATAAATTAAACTTTTACACACACAAAAAAGTAATCAAATAATTTCAATTATCTATTAATTCAATATAACTTTTCAATGTTATAATCATTAAGACTTAATTACATGAAATCAAAGAAATAGCAAGATGAATTAATTATTTATTTATGATTATAAAATCTTATATATTATTCCATGGTACGTAACAACTGTAGATAAATCCAAAAACAGAAAATGTTAAAATACTTAGGGAATTACTTTTTATTTTAAAGTGATTCCTTAAATGTTTATTAACATTTTTCTGTTTTTAATCTTATATGATTTTATTGCATACCAAAAACATTTTTGAACCATTTTATGTAGTTTAAAATGCCATAAAAATAATTTAAACTTCTATACAAATATAAGATCATATAAAACCAAACCCAAAAATACTTTATTACATACAATTTTAAATAACATTTAATTTTTTAAAAATTTTAAATTAACACTTTCTGGTTAAGATACGGAAATGACCTATGACCCAGAAATATACTCGTAATTTCTTTTAACCTTCGGTCTAAACATGTCTGCTTGTATTTCCTACAATGACTGTAAGTAGTATACTTCTACTTCCATCTATTGCAATTGTCGTCTGTATTTGACGGCCAGGATCCGTATCTGTGTTTTATTTGATTCTTAATAAAACAGGCTGGGCGCCCATGAGACCTTCCCTTTTCATCCCCTTTCCTATCTCGCTTTACTTTTTCCCTTCGCCTCTTCCCTTAATTACCTTTCCTCTACTCTTCTTCATACTCGGGGCAATACCAATGAGTAGTCCCGAGTCTTCATCCCCTTTATGCTAAATAATAATACCTCCATCTATTGACAAAATTTTAGGATTGAAATTTGAAATTGAAATCACAATTTTGCTACTTTTATTGAAATTTTTTCACAACAAAAAGGTTTTCCTACCATTTTTTTTGGTTGAAATTAAGCCTTATTACTATTATTACTAAATAATTTAATGTTTTGTTCTTTTAAAATGTACAGTACATACAAATAAGTAAATAAGTATAAAATTCAAATTATTGCAGATTAATTTAATACTATGCAAATTTGTNAATAAATATTGAGCTGCCATCATCAATAATATTGTCATTGATAGCCATTGATTGTCATTGTATTGGTATGGCTTTCAATAGTTGTTCTGCAGGACAAGTGGTTAAGGTGGCAGTCTGCCACTCTGAGGACTGGATTGAATCTGAATGATTCAAAAAACGTGGGAATTTTTGGAAGTGGATCATTTGGATACATTAATTTCTGTCCCTCCCCACCCAACCACTTCGTTACCAATCCAGTGAAACCAGTAATGAGCTTGCTAAAAAAAGTCTGCAGAGTGGAGAGAGATAAAAAGAAAATTAAGCAATTAAAAACATATTTTTACATATTATTACTAATAAACAAACAGAGTCAAGACATTAATTAAATTATATATTAAAGTCAACATAACTTGGATATAATAATTTAAGGATATTAAATAGTAATATCTTACATTCGGGTGGAAATAGTTCCATACTGTTTTTCACACACCAGCCGGGAGGATGAACTTCATTGTTATTTACATCGTACCAGAAATCTTTACTACGATCTTCCCCAATGCCAAAATATCTTAAAGTCAACAATGGACCACAGGTCATTATGATGGTAGCTAACCAGTAAGATTCGGGTGGCTCGGAATTCGGTATTTCTAATTTCATTCCTACTTTGAGTATGTTATCGAGACTATGTTCTACCTATATTACATAACAATAAAATATTATAATAAATAATAAACTAAAATAAATTTGATGAATAAATAAACAAGCATAATCTCACATGCACAAAGGTTATAGCTGGTGCGGCAACACTAGACGAAATATCCAAATAGTCATCCCAACAGAATTCTACTTCATTTCCATCTGATGCTTCTATAAATATATATATATATATATAGATTTATATGAGATAATATGCAACAGCATTAGAATAAAAACATTACCAATTAAAAATGCTTGAAATGTATTAAATGAAAACATTAGAATAATTTTGTTCGGAAGGAATCAAAATAATATCAACAATTTGTAGGTTTTTATCTTTAAATTTCTTTAAAATAAAATAAGAATTTTAAAATTATACAATGTTTTATTTATAAAAATTATTTATTGCTCTAAAACAGTGATGCCCAGTATGTGGCCAACAAGATCTGCTGCTGCTGTGACCACCCCACAAGACAGACAATGGTATATTTCAACAAACATTATTTTTTCAATACAGTGCTGTTTTTGGTTTTGTTCCAGTTATAAAAATTGAACTAATCGGTTATGTTATGTTTGTTTCTCATAAGTTTCTACAGTGTTCGCATTAGTATTTAACAGTGTTACGGAGAAGAGCTTGGTTTGTGGAGGAGATACGTAGAGAGTTACAAACAAAGCGAGGCTCTTGCCACTTTAAAAGTTGTGCATTGCAGCCCGTGAATCTGAAGAAGTTGACCACCACTGCTCTAAAGTATACATATATAACTGAGTGTTACAATATTTCAGTTATCTTTATTTTAAAATAATTTATCCATTAACCAAGGAAGTAGTAGAGAGAATAATTAATTTTTAGAAATTAAAACATATTTACCGTCTTCTTCAGCAGTACTGTCTGTTAATTTTCTTTTTCTTAATGTTAGTTCTTTTTCTTCTTCATTGCCAGACTTTTTGGTAAAATCATTATCAATTGTACTGTCAGTACTTGTAGAAACTTCAGTGGATAATCTAGTTCCTGTTAATAAATTTAAAAAATATATATATATATAAGAATAATATGTATTTTTACAATTACATTGCTTTGTTATAATCGTCTTAAAAATTTTCAAAATTATTAAATGCTACATTGTACAGTTAATATTTCTGTTTATTGAAGATATTGTAAAAAAACCCACTGGAAAAAACCATTATAAATAGTAACAGTTGGTAACTTTTTTGTTGATGTATCATTTGCACATGAATAAAGTTTTGTTTTGTGGGTGTGATCAATTCTTTGAAATTAAAAACTCAGAATACACCTGTAGTTGCTGAGAAGTGACATATTAAATATATATTGTAAATATTATAATACAATAGATATGGTTTCTTATTTTCTAATCTTCACAAAATATTTTTGAACCAAATGATAAAAAATAATATTGTAATGATAATATACCGTATTAGAAATTTATAAGCAAACTAACTATGAATTTTATTAAAATATTTTAAAAATTGAATCTAAATTCCTACTTATTGAGCACAGCTCTTCATAATTCGGAGAGTGTTTTGTCTATGATCAAAGTTTAAAGCAACCATACACGATTTTTTGCAAATTCAGCAAGGCCGATGTCGTGACGAAGCTGGAATTTTGAAAACCAATCTATGGACCAAGATATTTCAGCTCAAAATTCACCACATAAAGTCTATGAGCCAATTGCCAGTTTTAATACTAGTAATGACGCAGAAGAGATGTAAATTAAAGATATACTAAACGTCCTGAAGACCAATACATATATACTCAACCAAACGATCACCTTAATCAATTGAGCTATAAATCCACTATTATTAATAAGTATGATTAGATATTAAGTAATTTGGTACTAGAGGTAGATGTTAAGGGCCATCTCTTATCTAAATTAATAATTATAATTTTTAATAATTTATTAAATAAAGAGATAGCACCTAAAATAATTAGATAAGAGATAGTGCCTAATGTCTACTATTAGTACCAAATTACTTAGTATCTAATCGTTAATAATAGTGGTTTTCCAATTGATTAAGGCAATAGTTTGGTTGAGTAAATTAAAGAAACGTTAATGTGGCTGTGGCGGTATTCTCAAGGTTTGAAGACACTTTAACAAATTCACATGCGAGTACGTATAAGTTGAATACGTGTAGACAAACAAGCCCAGATAATTATTCTAATAATGCCAGATTAATTTTCAAGTTAAAACTTGGCTAATTAATATAATAGATACCATATTATCTATTATATTAATTAGCCACATTATAAAACAGTATAATAGAAAACGGAAATCTGATTGGCGTTATCATACTTTGTACTAATTATGTCTAAGAATTAAACCAGATCATAGACATATTCTTAGATATATAACTGAGAAATATTTGGTAAACAAATTATATATGATAGAATACAATATTGATTTAAGATAAGGAACAGTTATTTTACTTACAATTTTACAAAATTTTTTTACAAGAAAGGAAGAGAATGTTTTATATGTACATAGGAAAACATTTTTGAAAACACAGTACATATTTTGTATGGAAATATTTCGATAATAAAATATTTTTTAAAGTATTTTTATTACTTAATAAATAAAAAAATTTTAAACATAAATTAAATATTTTCAAAACGTCTGAAAATTGAATGTAAGAATTCCAAAACAAATTAAATTAAATAAAACTTGCTTGACTTCTATAACTTTGAATGATTATTAAGGATGTCAGATTAAATATTTTTACTGACAAATGATGTGACGGCAATCTATTTTAATAGTTCTTTATTAATCTTAGTATACGTTTGTCAAAAAAATTGGAAAATTAACTAATTAATAATGCGCTTCGTGAAGAAAACAACCTTTTCTTTCGAATATTTCTTTAAATAAATAATTCAATAGAATAATGTTTTTATTAGGTATTCTGATATTATTTTTAATACAACAAAATACTTTTTATTATATTTTTAAAGTGCTAAATTGTTAAAATTTAAGATTTCGAAGCGAATTTCTCGGAAAAAAGAGAAAATAATAATAAATTTGCAAATTAATACACAAATATATATATATATTTGTTTTGGTAAAATATATATTGATCGCAGAAAGAAAGAGAAATCCATATTCTTTGTCTGTTGTAAAGAAAGAAAGAAAAAAAAAGTTCAATCTCATTATATGATCAATATATCATCACCAAACTTAATGATATGTAAGCACTGTGAGAGAGGGGAAAAAACTTTTAATTCAGAAAAAAATTATAAATATTTTTTTTGCTTCATTTTTAGATTAATCTGATAAGTTTTTTAAACATTTAAAAAAACCTATCAGACTTATTCTGATTCTTAAAATTCGATACTTTTTAAAAATATTTTGAAAAAATGTATTTAGCATTTCATTTTTAAACTAAAAAAAAGCTTCATTTAGAAGTGGAATTAGGATACTTTTCCCAAGAAAGTTTAATAGAAGAGTATTAGACAACCGTATCGGGAAAAAAATAATTAATAACCAAGCGTTAAACTATTAAAACACTATTTAAAAACAAAATTAGTATATTGAAGAGAATTTTTATATTTTAAAATACGCGAAAATTTACCGTCTATTTGATCGTCGGCATTGTTATCTTCTTGAGGCGACGACGTGAGGGATAATGCTTCCAACACATTATCACTGTTGTTCGAATCGCTGTGATTTCTCAATTCGTCGTCTTGAAAATTGAATTGCATTATATCTGTTTCATTATTAAATTCAGAATTCATTTCATTAATATCAAATCCGCTGAAAATAAAAGAGAAGAAGAAAAAAAAAAATTTAGTAAACAAACAGTCTAGAAAATTAAAATTAATCGTAATTAATTTTATATCTAAATAATTCAGTAAGCAAACGTTAGTAAATACGAAAATCGAATCAAGTTATTTTATTATTAAAATAGATAAATATTAATAATTAATTAATATTAGAAGCGTTAATAAAATAATCCAACACGCCGAAAAAATCTGCAGACGAGAAATCCAGAAATAGACTTTATAAACAATCTGTAAATCAATAAGACACTTATCTAAAATTAAATAAATCAATATGTAAAATAAAAATCTTTCATTACTTTAAGTGAGTTTTTAAAAATTAATATATATATTTTTTTTTTAAAGAAAAAACTCNATATATATATTTGTTTTGGTAAAATATATATTGATCGCAGAAAGAAAGAGAAATCCATATTCTTTGTCTGTTGTAAAGAAAGAAAGAAAAAAAAAGTTCAATCTCATTATATGATCAATATATCATCACCAAACTTAATGATATGTAAGCACTGTGAGAGAGGGGAAAAAACTTTTAATTCAGAAAAAAATTATAAATATTTTTTTTGCTTCATTTTTAGATTAATCTGATAAGTTTTTTAAACATTTAAAAAAACCTATCAGACTTATTCTGATTCTTAAAATTCGATACTTTTTAAAAATATTTTGAAAAAATGTATTTAGCATTTCATTTTTAAACTAAAAAAAAGCTTCATTTAGAAGTGGAATTAGGATACTTTTCCCAAGAAAGTTTAATAGAAGAGTATTAGACAACCGTATCGGGAAAAAAATAATTAATAACCAAGCGTTAAACTATTAAAACACTATTTAAAAACAAAATTAGTATATTGAAGAGAATTTTTATATTTTAAAATACGCGAAAATTTACCGTCTATTTGATCGTCGGCATTGTTATCTTCTTGAGGCGACGACGTGAGGGATAATGCTTCCAACACATTATCACTATTGTTCGAATCACTCTGATTTCTCAATTTGTTGTCTTGAAAATTGAATTGCATTATATCTGTTTCATTATTAAATTCAGAATTCATTTCATTAATATCAAATCCGCTGAAAATAAAAGAGAAGAAGAAAAAAAAAAATTTAGTAAACAAACAGTCTAGAAAATTAAAATTAATCGTAATTAATTTTATATCTAAATAATTCAGTAAGCAAACGTTAGTAAATACGAAAATCGAATCAAGTTATTTTATTATTAAAATAGATAAATATTAATAATTAATTAATATTAGAAGCGTTAATAAAATAATCCAACACGCCGAAAAAATCTGCAGACGAGAAATCCAGAAATAGACTTTATAAACAATCTGTAAATCAATAAGACACTTATCTAAAATTAAATAAATCAATATGTAAAATAAAAATCTTTCATTACTTTAAGTGAGTTTTTAAAAATTAATATATATATTTTTTTTTTAAAGAAAAAACTCATTAAATTTGTCGTAATTCACCGAAAAGATTACTTCTGTATTTTTGAGTATGAATAATAAAACTGATAACGGTTGCATGAAATTCGACTGTGATATCGTANTTTCCCACAGATCACATAAAGTGTGTGACATAATGGGATGCAGTTTACTTTAGAAATATAAAAGAATAAAAACATTTATGTAAATCATCACAAAAAACTATTTATAGATAGACGAAAGAGGAATCATACAGAAAACTCCAGCAACGAGTGGGAAAAAAACTATGACACTAGCTCAAAGTTAAAAAAAAAATTGTTAGAGATTTTGTTATAAAAACTTATCTCAAGTGGGTCACACTTGAGATATATGACATGACACTGACCCCCCCTTATCTATCCAACCCCTCAACCCTTAACCACCAAAATTTAATAGCAAAAATGTCCCTTACATACGAGTTACCATGCCAAATTTAATATCTTAATCTTTACCCCATTCTGAAATATTAAATGAAATAGATGCCAACACAGATGCGCGCACGCGCATACAAATAATTCCATCCCTTCTTTATTTGACATTTTTGGGTTCAGAGGTCTTAAAATATCAAGATTTGCAAAAAACTCAGAGGGTCGAATCTGATACGACTACAATTAGGAAAGTAAAAATTAGAAAAAAAGCAATCTAAGAATGTTTTCATCAAATGCTAGATTTGAAAAAAAAATTGCATTCGAAATTTGAATACAATTATGAGGAAAATCTAAGTAAAACTTACGAATTTTAACTAATAATTTTATTTCAATTTCAATAAAATTTGTCATTACATAAATTAATTAAAAAATATTTTAAAAGATAATACTATAATTTGTTTTAGACATGCTTAACAACATAAAATTTAATATATATTATATACTTTATATATGTTACCGCTAAAGCTCGAAATCCGTTAATCTGCAGATTACCTAGCTAATCTGCAGATTAACTAGGGTGATCCGTTAAAGTTGCTAAAATTGTTCTATTTCTCAAATTACCTAGGTAATGTGCAGATTATCTAGGTAATCTGCAAATTACCTACTAGGCACTCGGTAAAGTGAAAATAAGATCTTTGCTGAAACAACAGCAACGTTTCTGTACGCTTAAATTAACATAATGTTCTTTATTTAATTTTCGATATCTAAAGAATCAAGTTAATACAATCAAACAATCGACAAATTAGTTGATAGAATCAATCATCAACCAATTAAAAAACATACAAAAAATCAAACGATTTAAAATATTAATACAATTAGGGAAATTATTATATAGATAACCACCTATGGAATTTCGGGACTTTGAGTATCTATCTGAACTGAGGGGACCGAGACGACTTCAACGATACCCTACTTTTGGACCGGAGACGAAAAATAATAAAGTTATCATACTTTTTCTGGTGATCGCATGATATAATTGTGCAGTTAATGTTACCTATGGTGAGTAAAATGGCGGCTCGTCTCTGATTCCAGCAAACAGAAGAAAGGAAACAGTGGGGACGCACGTTCTAACCTAACCTAACCTATTCTAATAAATTACCATAATTATTACCAACCAAATTATTAGAATAGGTTAGGTTAGGTTTGAACGTGCGTCCCCACTGTTTCCTTTCTTCTCTTTGCTGGAATCAGAGACGAGCCGCCATTTTACTCACCATAGGTAACATTATCCAATTGTGCTTACTTATTAGTGCAGTCTAAAGATTGGTGACACTTTGAATTTCATAGCAATTGGTTTCTGCGACAAGTTCACCTATTTGTGGTACATTTATTTGTGGCAAAGATCTTATTTTCACTTTACCGAGTGCCTAGTAGGTAATGTGCGGATTACCTAGATAATCTGTACATTACCTAGGTAATTTGAGAAATGGAACAATTTTAGCAACTTTAACGGATCACCCTAGTTAATCTGCAGATTAGCTAGGTAATCTGCATATTAACGGATTTCGAGCTTTAGCGGTAACATATATATTGAATTACATGGTCTTTATTAAATAAGCTCAATGTGTAGTTTTAATTATAATGATGACTGTATATAATTTTCTACTTGATTTAGCAAAATATAATTTCTCATTAGAATTAATAAAAATTGAAGAAGCATTAAAAATAACTTTATTCTCAATCAAGTAACGATAGTATTTTGTTTATTTAAAGTTATATATATTCAAATAAATTAAAAAAACTAATAATTCTAATAAAAATAGAACTATATATGGGTGAATAATTAACTTTAAGAAGAACATTCTACACAAATGTTTAACTAAACTTCTCTAGAAGAACTTAAAAATAAATGTGATTCAGATCATAAAGTAAAACTGACATTAAGACAGTAGTTGATTTATTATTATTTTTTTTTTATATTTCTTGCGAGTCCATAAGATTTACTTGATACAGTCAAATGCAGCTTTAATATAAAAGTGCGAATAAATATTTGCTTACGGTTTTTGAAAATACGCGTAAAATCAATCTATCTTTCAAAATTAATTAAATAAAGAGAACCAGCTGAAACAATACATTACCACTCTTAATAAATAAATAAATAATCAATCATACCTGAATTAAAATATCATCACTTCATCTTATAAATATAAAAATTAATCTAACAAGTAAGATTATTCAAAAAAAACAGTTTAACCTAGCATTAATGTTTCTTATTAGCTAAAAAAAAAATTATATAAATTGGCAAACATCACACATGTACACACTGATGTCCAATAGTTAAACATGACTGTTTAAACAAACAAAAGCAAAAGGGTTAAAACAAGTAAAACAGAAATGTTTGTGTAGATTAGTCACACTTGTAAACAATCCCTGAAAGAACTGTTGTCAATGCTGATTAGGAACTTAATAATGGCACGATGAGTCAGCTTATGTGTTTTTTGAAAAGTAGAATTATAACAAAAGCTTGAATTGAGACAGTCACATACTGAAATGTCCAAGTGTCATATAGACTTTGTAGAAGGTTCCAAGACATGGAAGAGGTTAGACGCCAACCAGTGCAAGGTTTCCCACAGATCACATAAAGTGTGTGACATAATGGGATGATTTTTTCCAGGTAACTTTCAGTAGAGCTTGAAATTCTCTCCAAAAAAACTTAAAACACAGTCTCAAAACTAGCTTCTGAGGTGACTATAAGCTGGAATAAGTGTTTCAAGACAAACTGTTTATTAGAGGCTTAGGACATGTATGCCAGATGTCCAGTAGTATCTTACTCACTCATGCAAATAGAAAGGTCTGTTTAAACTGTTGTCAGGAATATAAAAACTGGACTTTCAATCAATAGAGCACTGTGCTCTTCACTGAGGGGTCCAGATTCAGTTTACAAACTGATTTCTGTCAGACCGCTATATGGAGACAATGAAAAACTTGTTACTACTCTAGTAAATCAATGAATGGGACTAATTTGATGGCGGTGGTGTCATTGTATTGGTAGGAATCATGTTGAATTGCCACACGGAGAACAGTTGATATTTAAATGGTACATTAATATCAAATTGATTATTTAGAAGAAAGAATCTGGCAACGTA